GAATTTACTCCAAGAGCAGTAGCGGCATCCATTTACTGTCTCAAAAAGATGATAGACTACTGGATCGACCGGGGCTCAAACTAAAAATCTCGTAGCAACGAGTCTGAAGCTCTGTCGACTAACCAACCCCGGCCTGTGATGCCTGACAATTTTAAAACATTTATGACACCTGACTACAGAAAACGTATCATTGAAGGACATGTAGAGACACTGGGTAATGCCTATTTCGACAAACAAAATGCTGACTTTCTTTAGCCGTTACCAGTGCTTGAGGTAAATCCGCCAATCTCAAACACTCACTTCAGATCCATCCAAATTGTACGTTTGCGCATTTTCACAAATCAGATAAACATCTTTATCCAAATCGTTCAAAGATTTGTATCGCCCGTCGGAGATCTTTTTCTAAATTCAGCATCACGATGAAAACTTCAGTAGCTACAATATAGCAAGAATATATAGACATAAATATACTTACTTTTATTTTTTTGAAATCCATGGGTTGTGAAATCAACTCGTAGTAATCAGGAAGCTCTTTTCGAGGAGGCAACTGAAGGAAGTTTTCACAAAACAGACGACCGTTTCTATTAAAAACAGCATCTGATGACGTCGCGCGCTAACCGCCAAAAATTCCAACATGCAAAGACATAAAGTAATCAAAGTATTTGTGAATAACTACAAAACCGGAATTCAACGCTTTCATGTCTGTGCTTTCAGTTGAATAAGAAATCCTCCACGCAGGTGACAATAGAAGGACATTAGGAAACCCACACCAAACAATTTCGCTACCAATAAAACCCCAAGCAGCAGATGACAACTACACACAGTTTGGTCTGTTTTTGGATTTTGTACTAATGTGCCAAGTCGAAATGCACGGTCGTTGTGAATCCTGTTCAAGATTCAGCAGGGGTTACGCACTTCTTGGTCATAACAAAACTATTTAAATAATAAACTGAAAAAAATGATGTAAGGTTATTTAATCTTTAATTTCAATTTTGGAAAAAAAACATTTTCTACAATAAAGGTTCTTGGTCCTCCTTCAGCTCCTTTACCATTCAGCTGGAAAAATTCGACTGGGAACTTACCGAGGATTCGTTTATACACTTAACCATTTTGGATAAAAGAACAGTAAATACTTTGAAATCCTGATGCAAAACTTTGACACACACCAATATACAACGTTTAGAATTAGTCATTACCTGTCTTTGGAGATAATGACAGCTTCGACCATCTGCATCATTAGGGTTGCCATTTTGTTACTGCTTTTGGATCTACTCTGGTTGGTGCGTTTCCGCTTAGATTTATGCAATACCGACTCTTCGTCTTCGTCATCATCATCAAAATTGCCTACAACTCGCTTCCCTCGCGAACGAATGGACTTGTCTGAATCGTCTTTTCGACCTGAACGCTTCTTTTTCTTTTTTCGGTGTTCCTCGTCATCCTCGA